TATATTTATATTACAGGAAAATAAACCGAGCTAATAAGGACTGCTTTAGACAATTTTTAGAGGCAATACCAGTGATATCAAGTATGGAATATATTACCATTTTCCTAGCAAAAAAACAGATTCAAAGACTGTCACTCTCAAACATAGTTCAAGTCTCTTGATTTCACATACCAATTCTAGACAATGAAGACTCTTCTTTGTTTTCTGATGAGTCAAATAAATACCTGGGTGTAGTATACATTACTGTAATCACAACACTTGGAAGGCTGAGGCAGGAGCATTACGTGTTACATTTGAGTCTAGCCTAGACTACATAGTGAGATCTTTCTCAATATCAGACCCTTGGCCCCCAAAGCCCAAAACACTTGCACATTAAGATGTAGGTGGGAAAAATATGTATGCTGTTCAAATCATATAGTCTGGCTGAGCATGGTGGCACATGCTTACAATCCCTGCTACTCAGGAAGTTAAGGCACAAGGATTAAAACTAACCTTTTTTTTTTGGCAGTACCAGGGATCAAACTGGGGACCTTACACCTGCCAGGCAGGTGCTAATACCACTGAGCTATCTCCCAAAGCCCTTTTTCTTCTTTTTTTTTTTTTTCCTGAGAAGAGGTCTATGTTCCTTAGGCTAGTCTTACCTGTGCTCAAGCAATCCACTGCCTCACCCTCCTAAATACTGAGAGCACAGGCATACGACACTGATACTGCAACTGGCTAAATTCAAACTCTCCCCTCTCTTCTTTTTGAAACAGGGCCTCACTGTTAACTCTGGCTTGCCCTCAACTTGTGATCTTCCTCCCAAGTACCTGAGATTTCCAGTGTCCACCACCATATCCAGCTCAAACTATTTTTAAAACTACATTTTTAGGGAAAGGCCATGAAGAGGCTCCTGAGACACATTAATGGTCTTTGGATGGTGATTATCCAGCTATGTGGTTTATGTACTTCTTTTCAATAAAAATGTCTGTTAAAGTTGGAAGAAAAATAAATTTACTGATAAGGTAGTGTTGTTACTGCGTAATCTGGATGACAAGATATGGAGAGGGTCGTGATAATTCCTTATACTGGTATAGTTCAGAAACCAAGATTAAACAAGTATTTTGCCTATCTAAGATGATACACACCACCAACCTTTTTTTCCATATGATCTAAATCATAAGACTGAAAATGTTCTCTCAGTTCAGGAAATGGCTTATCCAGTCGTAGATCCTCTAATGTATTATCTGGATGAGATTCTATTACTGTGAAACAATCCAAAAAGATAAAGTTAATTCTTTAATATTACTGTGGCAACACGCTACACTATAGGAAACTGGTAATTCTTAAATGGTCATGGGACGTACATATATTTTTCACTGTTATTGTAAAACTTCACATAGTAAACACACAGATCTTAAATGGGCTGTAAGTTCTAATAAATATAGTAAATTCTAGTAAATCCACACATGGTGGTGCATGCCTATAATCCCAGTATTCTAGGAGTCTGAAGCAGGAGAATCAGCAGTTTGACTCCAGTCTGGCAGTTTAGTGACTTACTGTTGCAAAAACAAAATAAAACAAACTCCCCCAAACCTGACAAACTATATATACAAATAATACCTGACAACCTACCATCCTTCCTTTTGTGGTCTTTGATAGACAGCAATGCCTAGAAACCTGATGCCCATGCCTCATTTTTGTTTCCTTGGCCCTAACCCCATCACTCTCACTTCCTAATGTCACTTTGCACAGGGCTTCCACATGAGACCATACAGAAGAGAACACCATTTCACTGAGTGTTTAGAAAGAGACATGATGTATAGTTATATGCTAGCTATGTGAACTCAGGCAAATAATCTCTCTGTGCCTCAACACCATCTGTAAAAACCAGGTACAATATTGTCTACCTCATAAAATTTTGGGAAGAGTAAATGTAGTAATATACATAGATGGAGGTACACAGTAAACAATGTTAAATTTTATTATCTACCTCCTCTTCCCTTTTTCCCTATCCTAACATCTCCCCTAAATCATGGGCACTCTGCTCCAATCCCTTATTTAAATAATTGGAAATCTGTTAGCAGCAACGTCTGCCTCCAATATTAGTCCCTTTTAATCTTTTCATTATACACTCAACTTCAGAATGATGTATTTAAAACAAAAATTATACCCTACCACTCCTCCAGTTGAACCCTCCAGTAGCCTACTCCCAACTACTTGAAGCTTAGTCAATAAACTAACTGTTCATTGAGATACTACTCCTCAGTGATGCTGTCAATATCAAAGGGTATTACTGCACTAACAATGTGCCTGACTCACAGCTGGCATAGAAGGAAATGCTTTCACAAGCAAAGAAAGAACACTGTGTGAGTACTGAATGAAAATCTAAGATTAAGCTTTTCTAGGTAAAGGGCTAGTATCAGCTGTGAAACGATAGAGGCTCATCATTAACTCTGTTTATTCAGGAAAAGGTAGTTGGGTAGATGCCTCATCATGTGGAAATGCACACGAACTGGGGAAACCAGAGGCATGCAAGAGAATGGAATGAAAGGGTGGTATGACTCCAGCTCTCTCCTGTGTCAAGCCATACATGCCCTATTTAAGTAAAAGGGCAAAAGAAAGTAGTAATACAGTAATACTTCAGTTCACAAACACTTTTGTTTGCAAACAATTTGTTTCACAAAAACATTTAGCAAGATTTTTCTTTCATTTGCCAGCCATTTAGGATGACAAATATAACCAACGCCATCCTCTCCACACAAATACAAAAGTAGCCATCTTCCCCAAAATTGTACAACAAATTAGTTTGTAAGCTGAGGCACCACTGTACGTGTATAGCTACTGGGCCTCCTAATCAGATGAAGCTGTACTTAGTGTCTGTTTTATATCCTTCTATGCTAGGTAAAGAAACAGCAGATTAAAACCTGTTGAGTCTAACTGCCACTTTGAACCCATAACAAGATGCACTGCTACAAAATTACTTTGCAGGGGGGGTGGGGGGGTCCTGCCCACTAGCTCAGTGGTTTAAGTGCCTGCTTAAACAAAGCATTCCAGCTCAGGATGCTGTGGTTCAAATCCAGATACTCCCGCCAAACCAGAAATGCCCTAAAGGCATCTTGAGGCGGCCAAAAAAAAAAAAAAAAAATTACTTTGCAATTTAAATTTGACTTTCTAAGGTTCTAAGTTTCTAAAATTGTAGTTAAAGCCTTGATAGCAAGCCCCATATGCTCAACAATTTTACCTGGATGCTCTTTTATAATGATCCTCATATAACCAACCAGTCCATATGTCCTACAGATCAAAAGAGGGATCTGGGAATTCCAGAGGACATCTGCTAAACGCAGTAATGTACTGTAAAGGAAAGCAAAATAAAGTAAGAACATAAGCAAATGAATGTGCCAAATATGAAACATGCCAAACATGAAACTTATCTTAAAGCAGCTTTTTTATTAAATATAAATACAAAGATACATCATTGCACTTACATAAGCAGCTCAAGAACAGTGAAAAGCAAGTAATTTTACAAGGCTGCAATCTCAAAGAAAGTACATTTTTTGGAGTAGATGGATATGTAACCTTAGTTTATAATATTAGCAAGAATGCTGTTGACAAACTTTCTAAACAATTCCCTTGACAGAAAATATTTATAAACCCCACACATGTATTTCCAAATAATTCCTATAATTCTCCCTAGCCTTGAATCCTAAGAAGTAGCCAATGTTCTTTTTTTTTTTTTTTCAATTTTTACTTTAAAGGCTCCAACCATAATCAAACGTTTCATATTTTAGTATTTTTATTCCTCTACATCTTTTCAATGCTAAAATGAATACATAAAAGAACTTCAAACTGAATATTTCTATAGAATTTACAAATTTTGGAAACCACACAAACTGTAGGAAAAAAAAACCTTATGCAAAGCTAGTAAAATTTAAAATTTTTTAAAAACATGTTAACATCAAAATTTACCTTTCAGGAAGCTGAGTTGCAACCACAATAGTAAACCTACAGAAAAATGAAGGATCATTGTCTAGAAGGTTTTCTGGGCTCTAAACAGGACAGGGGAAAAAAATCCAAAATTTCACAATCCACATTAAACACAACAGAAATACTTAAGCTAATTTACAATACGTAAGGTAACAAGTTCAATTCCAATTAAATTTAAATGATATAAAATTCACATTGTTTCCATATTTTTAATTAAAAAAAACTTTAGTCCCAAAATAACATATACATGTATTATACCTCTTCCACAAAACTTCCAGAGACATCATTATTTAGTTCTTGTAAGAACTCCATGGCAGCTTCAGCTCTGTTCTTTTAAAAAACAATGCATTGACTTGAATTAGAAAATGCTTGGTTAAAATGTAATCCCCAATTTACAGATAAAGCAAAACACACAAAAAAACTACCACCAAAATGTCTTAGATAGCTATGACAACTCTGCTTGTATAGTGTTTAGATTAAATTATCACAATCCAGAGTTCTCAAATGACATTATTTACCCTAAACTTTTCTTATTAAGCAAATGACCCTAAACCTCTGCATAGTAGGCAATCCTGGATCAGATTCAGATTTACAATAAAAACTCACATCTATAATTCTTTACACAGTCAAACATTAAACTTCCATTCAGAATATTATACTAAGTTCACTAACTTGGTTTTGTAAGATTTTGTATTTGAAATATAAAAATACAGAATCTTTTGGCTAATTTCAATTAAAAATTTTGTTAACCCGAATACTAATTTCTGAATATTGTTATTCAAGACTTTAACACAGAAAAATAGAAAATCACACAGTACTCATAAATTCTTAAATTACCAAACATAAAGATTTACTATATTGGAAAAATGAACTAATTTTCTCAGAGAATAAGCTTATTTAAAGTGAAATCCCTACACTTGGGAAGCTGAGCCAGAAAGATCATCCTAAGTATGAGGCTGGCCTTAGTAAGTTCAAGGCCAGCCTGAGCTACATGGCAAGACTGTCCCAACCAAACCAAACCAACAAGACAAAACAACATTAAAAAAGCGGGGGAGGGGGGAGACACCATCAAGACACAGTTGCATTATTAGGTGTGCAAACACAAATATAGTCTATTACAAATTGATTGTTTACCTTGCCAATACTGCTCCTTTGAAGGAAAAAACTAAAGTGGATAGAACAGGAAGAAAAAAAATTCTAAGGTTCATGTGACTATAAAGAAAAAGCTGATTATAATAGCATATATTATAGTCATAGTACCAAACAACCTTCTTCTTTGGAAGAAAACCTGATGAAAACTTGTAAAACTGAGCAAATAAATCAACCCTTCCCAAGTTATATAGCACAGAATATAAATTTCAAAAGATGTTCTGAGAAAAAGGGTCTTCAGACTTTAAAAAAAAAAAAATTGGGAAACATCATATACCACACTCGCTTCTCTCTCCATTTGACTCATTTCCCAAACTCATTTGATCTCTGGCCCATTTAACATCTAGTAACATTTCTTTAAAATCAGTATTCTGCAAACTCCCTTAGAAAATATACTGAACCATTTGTTTTTGCAGGAAACTATAAACTTTATTCAGGAGTCCACACACACGACTATCATGTTCAGTGGCCCAAGTAAAAGGCTGCTTATCAGTCACAGTGCTATACTGTGGCAAAAGCGCTCAACTCCACAAGAAAGAGAAACCTTATTCTCCTCATGTGTTGCTATAATGAATCAGGTAAGCAGAAACACTTTTCTTTACCAATACCCATAAAAGGGCCACGCTGTGGACAGCAGAAACTTGTACTATCACCCAAGCACATCAAAGCTCAATATGAATTAAATTCTGGCTTTCCTTGTATTTCTTCCATGACATTGTTTTGTTTTTTCCTTTTTCTTTTTGTTCTGTTTTTTTCTAACATGTACATATCTGAAAAGAATAGAACATACTTATTGCCAGCATCTTCTCCGCTGACCTGATTTCTATCAATAATCGTAAATGATCCAATACCTGGGATACAAAACAGAGTCAGTTAAGAACATTTCTGGATTAGAACTTTAAAGAGGTGAATCTATTATTACTTTTTTAATTTTGGAATTTTATTAGCTTGATTTTGGGAACTACTACTTATGTAATTTGTATCTACTGGGCCTATTTTCTGTGTCACTTTCTTTTCCTTTGTAAAAATTATATTTTATTAGTATATTTTTAGATATACATAATGATCACATTTATCATAGGGGATTTGTACCTTTACATGATGTAACTTTTTCCCTCATTCCTCTACCCTCCCATCAATCCCTCCTGCCCTCCCTATGTACAAATGCTTTGTTTCCACCTTTTCCTTCTTTTCTCATTATTTTTACTTTTCCCTTCTTTCCTTTCGCTGTTCCCTCTCCCTTGTTTCTCTCCCCATTTTACTATTTTCTTCCTATTTTCTATTATACATTTTGGTCTTTATTTATACTTCCACTTTTTCACACTAGAGAAACAACATGGTAATTACACATGTGAGTCTGATTAAGAAGTCAAATTTAAAACACAGTCTTTAAATTACATTACCTGGTAGTACCAAGTTTTTAAGAATTTCAGTTCCTGTAGCTGTTGCATTTATCAGACAAACATGAGCAGATTCCAAAGCCTCTTGCCCGTGATCACCCCACAATCTGTAAAACAAGACTCAAGGTAAACATTTTAACAATTTTCACCATAATATACAGTAATTTTGTCATTGGAATGGTAATCTTTGATTTTTTCTATGTTCTTACATAGAGTAACTGTATTGTGGAGATTATACAGCAGCATTATCCAGGACTCAGACAGACTATACTCTGTACGGTGGGTGGGAAGGAGCATCAAATCAGAATCAGAACTTAGTCACCTAGCTTCATGTCCATTACTTTTTGTTTGTTTTTATTTTTTGTTGAGACACAGTCTTGCTATGTAGCTCAGGCTGGCCTTGAACTCACTATGTAGCATAGGCTAGGCTTGAACTTGTGAAAACCCTCCTGCCTCAGCCTCCTGAGTGCTGGGATTACAGGCATGCACCACCATGCCCAGCATGCCCGTTACTCTTTTGAAACCAGGTAATTTAGAGGACAGAAAGTCTCTGGAAATACTCATCTGGAAATACAGTGGCACATACCTATAGTTTCAGTTACTGAAGTAGAATGACTCCCTGAGCCAAGTTTAGGACCAGCCTGGGCAAAACAGTGGGATTCTGTCTCTTCTATAAAATAAAAAACATTGACTTGCACTTAAAACTTAGCCTATTCTATTTTATTTCTCCTAAGTTACACAGATCCAGTACAGTACATTTAAGATCTTAACATAGGCTAAGTGCAGTAATATAATCTCAGGTACTTAGGAGGCTGAAGCAGAAAGATCACAAGTTTGAGGCCAGTGTGAAGAACTTCTTAACAAGACCCAGTCTCAAATTAAGCTATGGGATAGGGATGAAGCTCAGTAGTGGACCTGTCCTGGGTTTGATCCCCAGTACCAAGAAGAAAGAAGAAAGAAGAAAAGGAGGAGGAAGAGGAGGAGGAGAAGAAGAGAAAGGAAGAAAAGAAAGGAAGGAAGGAAGGAAGGAAGGAAGGAAGGAAGGAGTCTTGACACAGGACTTATCACTGTGACAAGAGTAAGTCAAAGTTTTACCAAGAAAACAAAATTATTACCATATGAAAAGCTTCATAAGAAGTGCTCTTAATACACAACCTGGCATGCTGGCACATATCTGAGAACCCAGCACTCTAGAAGGGTGAGGCAGGAGGATCACAAGTTGGACCCCAGCCTGAGTAATGCACTTGATGTAGCAAGACCCTATCTCAAAATTAAAAAGCCCTGGGGACATAGCTCAGTGGGAAGGTCCTGGGACCACTCCCTATTATCACATGAGGGAAAAAAGGTTATTCTAATTGCATGATTCACACATACACACATTAACAAACACAAAGATGTAATAAGAAATAGAAATGTATGCTATAATCTGATTCACACTGCCATACCATAAACATGAGAAAGTACATGATCACGTTTCATAGCTTCCAGGCTAAAATGGTTAGCTTCACCTCCAAAAAAGTCTATTAATTGATTTACTTTCTTCTTGTGAGTATAAGACGTACAGGGGAGCTCAAATCATTAGAAAATGGCATAACCAGATAATTAGTACAGCCCAGAAGGCTAAGACTTTGATGTGCTTCCCATCACCTGACCTAAAGTAGACTCCCCCTTAGTGAGCAGAGTGTACCACAACCAACTGCCACATTTGACTTATTTGCTGAGCATCCACTGCTCTAAGCTCCATAAAAGCCCAGATTATCTTACCTATTCAACAGTGAAGCTCCAGTGCCCGGCACAGAGCTTTATCCAGGGTAGCAGATCACTGAACCGCTGTCCAGTGAGTGAAAGAATAATGTAGAAGAACCAGATAGACTGGAAACATCTGGTTTTTGTTTTCCCATGAAAGTAGGGCACATATTCAGCTGATAGATGTTTAGGTAGTTGCAGAATAAGCCTAGGAATACTGGAGCATCTCTAGCTGATGTTTGAAGTAAAAGGCCAAATTTTATTTCTAACTGCTTTTGTCTGACCCTTCTAAACCAATAACTAGTATTCACTATGAAAGGTCAAGTTTGCTAGCAATCTAATGGAATCAATTCAGTAAAAACCCTCTTCTGGTGCTTAGCAACCTCAAATATCTTCTCATTGGATCATATGTGTTTATACCTGTATTCAAATGCACAACACCCAAGAATTTACAAGAAAACACGATGGTCTCTGACACCTTTTTTTCTTTGCCCTCAGAATCCTGGAAGCAGTAATGTAACTGAGCAACAGCTCTAGAGAAGCTAGAGTTTAAAAATATGGGGAACTCTGTACATTACCTAGCTTCTCTAAGACTCAGTTTCCCCATATGTAAACCACAAGGAATGTCTGACTACAAGGAAACTTTCAGAACTAAGCACCTAGATCCCCTAAGAAGTCCCTGGCTGTAGGTGCAAATGCAAGTTCAGATTCTTGGAGGCAATTTATAATTTTTCTTGGCTTGGGGGCTCCAGGAAGGAGGGAGACGAAGCATTTTTAGTATCTCCATCAATATACAAAAGATAACTCAGGGGCTGGAGAGATAGCTCAGTAGAATAAGCGCTTACCTGGCAAGCGCAAGGGCCTGAGTTCAATCCTCAGTTCCACCAAAAAAAAAAAAAAAAAAAACCAAAAACAAAACAAACAAACAAAAAACAAACAAAAAAACCCCCACAAAAACAAACCAAAAAAAAAAGATAACTCAATACCAAATGAGGAAGGAAAAGGCTAGGGTGGGAAAGAAGCCCAGGATCTGACAGGTTGAGATATGTTCTATCCAAGTGAGGTAGCCCTTGGCCACATGTGGCTACTCACATTAGAAATGATGGTAGCTGTCTTCTGGATGGTTAACAACCTAAGTTTGCAGACCAAAATTAGAGAAAAAGGAGGGCTACAAGGAAAGCCAATATTTTGGCCCTACCCTTCTAAGGTCAATTAAGACTCAGGACATATGAGAACTTGTACTGTAACGTCATGTGCCTCGGTAGTGTCCCAGATTTTCTGATCAAGAAGGTTATGGGGCCAAAGAGGAAATTGATCGATGACGTGGAGTGTGCCTAAGGAGAGTCACATGAGGAGAAGACACTCTCTCAGGCTTTCACAGAGAGCACATTGGCCAAGCAATGGCCGTGACTCATCCACATGGCTGCACTGACAAAGGTTCTACAATCTGAGGTACAGGATCTCAGGATAAATCCTGAGGGCATTTCACTGACCTTCTCAAACCAAAAAGCTACAACTCTTGTTGCATAGGTTCTGCTTTACCTTGGTCTTAACCATCCAGTAGAAAAGTATGAAGATGAAATATAGGAAGTAAAGCCATGTTGTTATGTTGAGCTGTGGGGGACTCACGTCAATAATTTCTGACATTGCCAATTAAACAGAAGACCCAATGCTATTATGGGCTTCTGTACTCTTTTAGAATATTTTGCTGAGTTTACACACCTATAATATTCAACAACGGAACTTAAAAAAAAATTGGGGTATAACTATGAATGTCCATTTTGTATCTGTGTATTCAAAGTGGTTGGGATAGATATATAGTTGCATTCTCTTAATGAATAGAATGATTTTTTCTAATGGTGTTTGTAAGTAGGATCACAAGTCTGCATCTTGTACAGCAATTAACCACTAAGAAGAATATATGCAGTGTATTATTTGTTGAAAAAAAAAAAAAAAGAAATGATGGTAGCATGGATTACAATGTGCTCTAAGTGTGAAAGACCCGATTTCTAAGAGCCTGGGGAGAGGGGGGAGTAAAATAGCTCAATAACTTTTTACAATAAGTACTGCTGAAACTCTAATATTCTCTTTGTATTGTCCCTCCCCCTTCGGAACCGGGGATTGAACTCAGGCCCTTGAGCTTGCCAGGGAAGCACTTATTCTACTGAGCCATCTCGCAGCCCCTAAACTAATATCCTCAACCTACTGGGTTAAACAAACTAGGTTATACAATTTTATTTCACCTATTTCTTTGTACTTTTTTAAGGTGGCTGTTTCGATATTTATAATTAGGTATATACGTGGCTCGCAGGATGGCTTAGAACAAAACCTGGCATTCCTCACCGCTCTCGGGATGGGGGACTCCGGACCCCCCGTTTCGCAAAGCAGCGAGGCGGGCCGGCAGACACCCTGGGGACCCGCCTGCCCCAGCAGAAGGCGAGCCCTGGCCTTGGGGGAGCGCGCCGGCTCCCCGCGCTCGGCTCGGGCCGGGCCCGCCCGGCAGGAGGCCCAAAGGCGGCCCTTCCGCGTAGCAGAAGTTAAGCTCTCGCCGGACACTGGGGACCTCGCTGGCCTGCGCGCTCGGCTCGCTAAGCCCCAGCTCACCTCAGCTGCCGATCGTACTTCTGTTCCTTAAGCAGCTTCTCCGGCTGCGCCATGGCCGCGCCTGCCCCGGAGCCGCCACCGCCGCTTCCGCACGCGCGCAGGCGCACTGAGCGCCCGTCGCCACCTTGTGCGTGCGGCCCGCAGGGGGCGCCGCTGCTGCACTGCGCACGCGCCGCCGCGCTTCCCGGCGCGCGCAGACGCCCGGTGGGGGAGGTGCGCTGGTGCTGACGTACCGGTCGGGAATTGTTCCTTTTCTTTTAGAACCTCAGTTTGCTCACCTGTGCAGTGGGGATGAATTGGTCATGGTTGAATAGGTCTTTTATCCTTTTTACGTGGCCGACTCACGGGGCGGGACTGGAGTGTCACGTGGTGGTGGTGGGGGACTCCGAACTGTGGTCCCAGCACGTTTGGCTAAACTTGCCTAACCGGGAGCTTTGGACCGCTGAGCTATCTCACCGGCTCGGGTCTTTTATCCTTAAATGAGATTTTAAATACAGGATATCTTGCATGAATAATTTTCATGGTCATGATCATTGTTGTTCACTGGTTCCTTTCACCTGTTCTGTTCTCCTAAGGCCTGTTCTGAGCCACAAGAGCAGGTGTAGAACAAGACAGTAAGTCTGGACCCTGGGCTTGGACAGCTCACAGTCCTCTGAGCAAAGAGTGACAGTATCAAACAATATCAAAAAATCCCGGGTTGGATCCCTGGTACCCTACAGAGGGAAGCTGTTGTCCTGGAAGGCGCATAGAGGGAGGCCCCACCCGACTCGTCTCCAGTAATGCTTCATGTGTGGGAATGGAAGGGCATTCTAAGCAGAGAGAACAGCAGGTGTCATTTCTAAGAGACAAGGCTATAGGTGCTAGTGAAGTTGGTCAGGTGAAGGACAGAGTAATTACGGGAGGTGTGAGGGACAGCAGAGGTTGGCTTATGAAAATGGAAACAAGAAAGAATTTTAGGGCTGGGGATATAGCTTAGTGGACCCTGGCAAGCACAAAATCCCGGGTTGGATCCCTGGTACCACAAAAACACAAACAAAACAGTTTAAAACTTCTTACTCCTGAAAAGAAGGTTCTTTTCTGAAAAAGGATCGACGTCCTCTGGGGATGAGTGCCAAGCAAGGAGATTATTCCATGAGGAAGGGAAAGAAATAGAGCCCCAGTGACCAGCAGGCAGAGATGAGAATTCCTTTCTCTTATATCCCAGACTCTACAGACATCTTCAGGTTAATTATTGCCTGAAGTAAGGTAAAATGATCACAGATCCCCGTGGCCCACCACTAATCCCTTCAGGGTGGAGAGGGGAAAGGACACAGTGTGACAGTAATGATGAATGCACTTCCCCTGGGCTTGGTCTTCAGGACCAGGGTGGAGGCTCCCTCTCTCGTGACTTCCCTGACTCCCATGCAGCACCCATGGAACACAAATGATGTGAGATAGGTGTATGAGGCTTTCCCAGCTCTTTATGTCCTATGCTGTGACATTTCCTTTTGCACTTGGACCGATGAAATATAAGGGATAATAAAATACACCCAGCAATGTATGAAGGTTGAAAGGTGGTAGATGAAAGTTTGCTGCTTACTCTCTCATATTCATTGCAGTCAGAGGTATTGTGAAAGAAATATCCTCAAATTTGGTGAACAAGTATGTGAAGGTATATTATCTGTAAAAGAATGCATGATTTTGAAAAGGGAAATGGTGTCTGTAAAGGACACCTCAATATATTAGTTTCCTAGGACTACTATAACACAGTGCTACAAATTAGATGGCTTAAAACAAGAGACATGATTGTTTCACAGTTCTAGAAGCTGGAAATCTGAAGTCAAGGTGTGGCCAACACTGTATTCCTTCTGAAACATACAGGAGAGGATTCCTTGCCCCTTCCAAGTTCTCTGGATTTTCTAGAAATCCTTGGCTTGCAGCTGCAGCATTATAATCTCTGCCTCTTTTATGACATGGCCCCCTCCCCTTGCATCTCAATCTGTGTCTGTTCTTTTAAGAACACCAGTATGGGGCCAGGGAGATAGCTCAGTAGAATAAACGCTTGCCTGGCAAGCTCGAGGGCCTGAGTTCAATCCCCAGTTCCACCAAATCAAAACAAAAACAAAAAACACCAGTACCATTGGGCTGGGATCCACTTAATGACTAAGACTCTGTTTCCAAGTAAGATCATATTCACTCACAGTGGGGGATAGTGGCTTCAACAATTTTGGCAGGCATCCAATTCAACCCACGAAAGCAGGTAAAGGTGCATGTACAGGAGCAGCGGTAGCCAGTTAGACACATCCTGTGTCATCAGAGAACTCAGAGCCCATTGGTGCATTTTTCTTATTGTGGAAACTAGAGGAATCAGACCAAGAATCTATGGCTTAATTCATTAGGGGCCACTGATTTTCAAAATATTGTCTTGGACCAGCATCATCATCACTCAAATATTCGTTAGAAATGCAAATTTGTTAGAACAGGAAACCCAAAACCTCAAGTAAGCTTAAGGTGTACTAAACTAATGAGCCTTCTAGGTGATCCTAAGGCATGCTCAAGTTTAAGAACCACTGAGCTAGACCGACTCTCCACTGAACAGGTGGGAAAACTGATCCCTGTTCATTGAGCACTTAGTATATGCCAAGCAGGCCCTTGATGTGTATCGTCGCTTGTGTTTGTCCGATGGAGTTGATATCACTGCTCACCCAGGCAAAGATTAAGGTTTGGAGATGGGGAAAATAAGAAAAATTAAGATATTAGAAATTAATATTCTAATAGAACTAGCCAGACTCCCAACACAGTTTTGTTATTTTTTATTCATTCTGGTTGGTCTCAGCCAGGGAAGACTGGATCTATGGGCTCCCAAGAAGTTTGGAGCAGCCTACAGGGAGACCAGAACCTAGAATAGCTGTTTAGCCTTGGCTGCTGCCTCTCCAGCCTTAACCACCACCTCTCTCTGCCAGCTTTTGACCATCCTTACCCTTACCTTTTGCTCACTGGCTGGTTCCTACCTCTTCCCAACTGTATAAGCTCCCCGAGGCAGCAGTGGGTCTCTAATGTTCATAATTGTATCGCCCATGACTGGCCCAGGACTTGACATCTAATAAGGCTTCCATAAATCTTTGCTGAAGGAACAAATTTCTAAAACTATTTTTATCATGCAAGTAGAAGCCTTGACAATATATTTCATCTAGCTTGATAACTGTACTTCTAGCAATTTACCCCAAGAAACCATCAGACACAAAGTAAGATATATAAATAAGAATGTTCACTGCTGTGCCACAGTAATGAAAATTGGAAATAATATGTACATCAGAGCAAAGTGTGAATATTTTAGTGTCAAGTTATCCAAAGTTAATCAGATGGAAAAATACTTGCCTAGGGAATTAGGTGAAAAACTACATAGATAGATAGATAGATAGATAGATAGATAGATAGATAGATAGAGTTTTATATAAATATATGAAATATGTAAATACGAGAGAGAGAGAGAGAGAGAGAGAGAGAGAGAGAGAGAGATGACTGATGACTTTTTGCTAATATATAACAGAAAAGCCTGTCAGGATGGTCACTGATATGTTAATGATCTTTGGATAGTGATAAGACCAGTTATTTAAATTTTCTTCTATATACTTTTACAGCTCTTACAAATTTCCCACAACAAACAAGTGTCACTATTAAAATTGGAAAATTCACGTCTGAGGATCTTAAATGTGACCAACAAGCTAAAAGAAGAAGGAAATAATAAAGGTCCTAGCACCTGAGGATTCCAGCCTTGGTACCAACAGTCACAGATATCACCTCATCTGACTACCTTAGTGGTCTGCTAGACAGTCTGTTTCTGTCTTATAGATTAAAAAGTAAAAAGCAGACTCAGAGGAGAAACAACTTTCCCTACGTCACACAGCCAGCAGTGCTGGGAGTCAACCCAGAGATCTAGGTGGGTTCACAGATTAAGCTCATTGAATCCTATCGCATGTACACATATACACACTATTAGAAGTGGATCATTTTTTGTGGGAGTCGGTGCTGGAGGTCAGAACCAGGAAATCTGTTCTGAGGTTTTTTTGTTTTGTTTTGTTTATGTATTAAAAGGAACAGGGCTCCTAACGACCCATTGGTCATATGCATAAGGAAAGCTGAGAAGGAGGGATGACTCAACCTGTTGGTGAAGTGTTGGACATCTGGTGTTTCAGTGATGTCCACAGCAGTCCCCTGGGCAAGGCAGGGACAATTCCCAAATCACCTTGTTGTTGAGCAAAAACGCTGCACTTCTGAGAAAGGCAGTGAAATCTGGCCCAGCTTGTGTGATGAGTAGGTGTGAGCAACTCCGCAACCTGCTCTCCTCTTCTTCTAGTCCATCAATCTCCGCATCCGCTCCAGCAAACCAGGAACCTCTGAGACCAAAGAGTAAACCTGCAAGCAAAGAAATCAATTTATCTTTAAGGACTGCATGGGATAGAGCCCAGAGGAGTCTGAATGTGAGGCACAGGCTCTGCCAACTTGCCCAGAGCAGGCTGTTGGGCATCTGGCACTCCCTCATCCGAGAAGGGCACAGGCCACCGGCTCCTCTCACCTGCTTGAATTCCTGAATCCTAGGGAAAATTGCTGAAGACGGGTTTCAGGAAGAAAAGAACTAGATGAACCTTGATTTACTTGCTAAAGAGGCCATACACTATATATATTTAATTCTGCCAGAAGATCCAAAGCACCAGTGTGTCCCTCTCACCCCATCCTGTCCACCCCTATCCTTCCCTTCTCTAGTCTCTTTCCTGGAGGCACGAAATTCTACCTTCTTTTTTGGCGGAACCAGGGATTGAACTCAGGCTCTTGTACTTGCCAGGGAAGCACTTATTCCACTGAGCCATCTCCCCGGCCCCTATCTTACTTTTCTTAAGTCTTTCTCATTTGTATGTTCACAAATGAGAAACAACTTAAAAACCCACTTTCTCTCCTTCCTATGATTTTAGAAAATGTGGAATGAGAGGCCCAGGTCGAGTTGTCATCTTTGCTGTGTCTCTCCTGCACACCCTTAGCCATCATTCAACCTCTCTGAATCATGCTTTCTTTATCTGTGAAATGGGGCAAAATTTGCCATGTGGATGAAGCAGGTTACAAAACCCTATAAAGAGTTCCAATTTTTTGTTTTGTTTTGGTTTTTTTTTTCCATTTTTTTTTAAATTCTTATAAAAAGGCCCATATTGCTGGGAGGAGGAAGTAGATCAGTGGAGTTTGGGCCACACCTAAATCCCTAAAGATGTTGCAACCCCCCTCCTAGTGAAAGTGACACTGGCTTCAATGGGAGACAGAGGATGCAGGCCCACCCTGGCAGCATGCCCTTGTCTTCCTGGTTTCTAGGTTGGAGACCTGGGGCTTTTACAATGTTGGATTCTCTGTCACTTGCTGGTCTTGAGAAACCCCTGCTGTATCTCCTCTAGCATCATGGGAGCCAGGTAAATAGGATGGCAGAATTCCCCCAAGGTCAACTAATAACAGGGCCTGAAATGGCATCTCCTGGTCAAGGTCTGACCAGCGGACATCTACAGATGGTCCTGTAGTTCCCTTTGGGCACAGGTCCCAGGGTGGCATCATTTGTCTGTCCTTGCATCCATCCACCCATCTGTTTATCTTTCCCTGTGAAGGCCTAGCCAGAGACAAGCCCTGTCATTGGCACAAGGCCACATACTAAGATGAATCAGATTGGGCTGGCTGGAGTCAGTGGGTGGAAGACAGAGGACACACTAGGAGGAGGGCATGACAAGAACCAGGGCTCATGGGTGGGAAAATGTTGGGCACTGAGGTTGAGTGCATGATGGTGGGCTTGAGCTCCCAGCTGGTGTGCTGAAGGTCATAGAGAAGCAAGAAGAGGACACACTAACAGAGGGACAAGCAAAGAGTCCCTGAAGGAGGCAGGAAGTTGTAGAGAGAATGACAGGGAGGGTAGGAGGTAGGGGCACAGACATCATTCTGTGGGGAAGCCAGCTGGTGCCTGTGGGCTTGTCTGGCCCCTTTGTGCACTGGTTCATGTCACTCCGCCCCACTCCCACATTGAGGCTGTGGTTCCACCCTGAGCCAGAGGTTTGGACTGTCAGGCCTGACTCCTATCTCTTCCAGGGCTCCTGGAATACCCACAAGGCTCCCTTGCACACAGTACTAAGAAGAGATGGTAAAGAACACCTAAAGTAAGGAAGAACTGGGGACTGAATCCCTCCCACCCTGGTTGGATGACCTTGTGCAAGTCACCTCACCTCACTTCACCTCTTTGATGTCCACTATACAGCTAATGCAGGCAGGCAATCCATATGGTAAGGGGAGCTTAGGGGGCAGTAACACAGAAAGGATACAAAGTTTGACTTAGAACCTTCTACAGCATCTGGCAAACAGGGACCGCTCCAGTTCTGGACACCTCACTCCAGTATCATGGTCAGTGTAGTTTAAGGGGGACTTTCCATCCCCAAAGAACCCAGGGCCTAGAGCTCAGATTCTCGATGGTGGCACTTCCAACTCAGAGACAAGCCTAGAGACAAGTGACTGTGGAGGAGTCATGCAGCCCTGTGCAGGGGCTATCTCTCTTGTCATGGTGTCCCCCATCCCAGAGTCAATACAAGCAGCCAGCAGGGGAAGGAGGGTGACGCGTCTGGTGGGGGTGGGTGGGAGGTGAGAGGAGAAGTTTCCCTCTTCTCGACCTCAAATCTGGACTCCAGGCTCCGTGGTCCCGCAGAATGGGGGGAGGGGCAGGGCCAGCCTCTCTCACCCTGCTGGGGGGTGGGGGGGGCGGGTCCCCGGGGAGCTGCTCCTCCCGCCAGCCGCTGCTTTAAGAAGCTGCTCCGCTGCAGCGAGCGGGGGCCGGAGCCGCAGCCGGAGCAAGCGGACTGAGCCCAGCCGGCAGGTGCACGGCTGCGGGGACAGCAGCGGCATGACCGGCTGGGGCTACGGCCAGGACGACGGTAGGCGCACAGCCCCGCCCGCTCCGACCCAACTGAACTCTCCTGGACCCGCACGTCCAGGGTGGATTCATGAGCCTACCACCCCAATGCTCCAGTACCCACCGGGTCCCAGCTCTCCTCTAGCTCCCAGAACCCGGCCCTCCTGCCTGGCCCCAGTCCCGGCTCCCCAGCGCCCCGCTTAAAGTCCCTGCTGCGCCCTGGCACCAGCCACCAACCAGTGACCGGTGGCAGAGCTCCTGTCACCGCCACCTCTGCGCTGCCCCCGCGACTACCGCGCTCGCTTGCCCTGACCTGGCCGCGGCACTCACGCATCCCCCGGGCGTGTGCGGCGCGTGGAGGTGGCCGGGCAGTGGGAGGCTTTTGCGGTGGAGCGTGGTGCGCGGGTGTCTGTGCGGGGCGCGAGCGCGCACGACGTGTGAGCCGGGACCTCCGGGGAGCTAGGCTGCGCGAGGGCAAGGGCGCTGTGTCCTCGGGAGAGTTTCCCCGCGGAAATGCCCGGGCTGCTGTGCCGGCTGGTACGTGAGGGAAGGGGTACTTGGGGGCGCACGCTGTATCTGGCTGTCTACGCAGAGCAGGATGTTTGAGCTAGTCAGGTGTGAGGCGTGGGAGTCCATACCCACACTAGCCTTCTGGTCTGACCGGGAAGATAGTTTCTCCATCCTGCCTCAGTTTCCTTAGAATGTAGAGGAACTGAGGAGAGGCAGAAGGTGAACTAGAGGCCTTGAGTGTGGGTCTGGGGTACATCACCACCCTTTACGGTGCTCTTATCAAGCAGTAGTAGGGACTGAGATGAAAGGTGAACCCACTAAGATCTAGGCTGTCAGGAGGGGAACCCAGTCAGGCAGATGGGGGTGGAGAGAAGATGGAGTGGTGAGGAGAAGATTCTCCCAGGTCCTGCTTCTCTGGAGAGAAATGGTCATTTTGTGATGGTGGGTGAGAGTCCTGGCCTAGGCTGGGGGGCCAGCAAATTGCAATGGGCCAGAAGGAGTTAGGGGGTGCTTCAGAGTCTCTGTTGTCTCTGGAACCCCAGGAGCAAAAGAGACTCCCAGATCTGAACATGCAAGAGCTGAAAGGAGACATTCAGAAAAAAGCCAGAGCCAGCAGACATAGAGAGAGGCAGAGAGGGTGCAGGTTGACAGAACTCCTGGAAGACCATCATCCCCCAGTCAGCTTTTGAGTGCTTCCCCCCAAATCCACATCCCCTCATGCCAGCACTTCCCCCTAGTTCTGACCACCAGCTTGGAGAATCTAGTGTCCTCAAAGGCCAGCCCCATGGGCCTAGTGCCCTCAGGCAGCTCCCTCTAATGCAGCCAGATCTGGATTGTCCAGTTTGGGAGGAAGGAACAGAAGGACAGAAGTGCCTGCATGCAGCAGAGCTCACAGGACTTCAAAAATAACCCAGTGGGGCCGGGCCATGGTTCTGAGTCATCCATAGGGGACACAGCTCTGTCGGCACCTGCTGCTGTTTTCTCGGGAAAACTTAAGAAGCCAAAAAGGGGGAGAAGCACCAGCCGGCAGTAGCTCTAAAAATAGGCTGTATCTCAGGATGTTCCCCAGGGAGATGCTGAGCCTCTAGGCTGCAGATGGAGCCCCTGGGAGGCAGGTGGTGGGCGCCTGTGGGTGTGTGTGCAGGTGGGTGCATGCATGCGTGTGTGTGTGTGTGTGTGTGTGTGTGTGCATGGGTATGTGTTTTGCTCTGGTCCCTTTGTGTAAACTTGGGTTTCCGAAAGGAGGTATTTTTGTATATGGGTGCATACCTATGTATCAGATGTAGTCAGCAAGGTCATGAGTGTTTGTGTACACACATGTTCTAGGGCTGACCACTTTGGACCTGGTGACCCATGTCACTATGCTCATATGGGTGCCAGACCTATGGACTTGTAGGCAGAGGCCTGGGGAGGTGACTGGAGGCAGTAAGATATACATACTGTATGTTTATATTGGTGCATGTGTGTACGCTTGCACCTACATGAGTGGCTCTCAGTTTCCTCCTTGCACTTCCTGGTTTCTACTTCACACGGTGGTTGTAGGGAGCAAATACTTGTCACAGAGTCAAAGCTAGGTTGATGTGCGTTTTTGCTATTATCATCACTAAGTTTGTCCAACGTATAGAAAGAGGCTAAATATTTGATTTTTTTTTCTAAGACAGGGTCTTACTGTGTAGTTCAGGCTGGCCTTGCACTCACTGTGTATCCTAAGCTGGCCCTAGACTTACAGCACTCCTCCTGTCTCTCTGTCTTGAGTGCTAGGATTACAGGTATATGCCACCACACCCAGCCAAGGCTAAATATTGGATAGGGTCAGGTCAGAGACTTCAGATGTCTCTGGGTGTGTGTTGAGGATTGGAGATTCAGTTCTGGGAAGCCTACAGTTATGGAATGCTCTCTTCCAGGCATTATCTTTCTTCATCTCCTATCAGTACTGGAAGGTGAGTTCTATTTGCTAGACACAGAAATGGAGGTTGAGGTGGTGCAATAGCAGAGCTGGGATTAGAACTCCAAGCTGTGCTGCTCCAAAGCAGGGGCTCACTGGCTCACTGGAGGGATGCTAGAGAGTCAGTCCGCCAGAGCTTCTCTCAGCCTGCATCTCAGAGACTCTGGCTCAACTGAGTCCTTGCTCTCTCCCTCCCTACAGGTCCCTCAAATTGGCACAAGCTGTATCCTATTGCCCAGGGAGACCGTCAGTCACCCATCAACATCATATCCAGCCAGGCTGTGTACTCGCCCAGCCTGCAGCCACTGGAGCTTTCTTACGAGGTCTGCACGTCCCTCAGCATCACCAACAATGGCCACTCTGTCCAAGTAGACTTCAATGACAGTGATGACCGAACTGGTAAGTAGCCTAAGGAAAAACCCAGCACCTTGTCTCCACAAGGTCCTGTCTGTGTCATGCAGGCTCAGAAGGAGCAGCTTGTTGTGGTGGGAAAGGACAGTTTTACCTCTCACCAGCTGTGAAGCCTTGGGCTAAGTATCAGTCTCTGCTTGTGTAAAATGGGAGTGATAAGATCACCTAGAGGTGAAGGAAAAAAAATGAAGTGACATTTGTAGTTCTGTCACATAGCACATGCTTAAGAAACATTAATTGCATTTATTCCCATGCACAGAGTGCTGCAGATCAGGTTTGTTTTAACTGCCATCGTTGATCTGCTTTGTGGCCCAAAAGCCAGCCCTCATTCCTGCATTATGTAGGCCGTTTGGCCTGGAGAGAAGGAGGCTGAGGTGCTCTTTGTGCTGGACCCATTTCCTACCTCTCAGATGCTGGGACAAGACTGGCTCAGCTCCAAAAGTCTCCTTTCCAACTCGCCCATGACCTGAAGCTCCCAGACTCCCTGGGCCAGAGAGAGGCCTGCGAAAACTTGTGGCAGCTTCTGCCAAGGTCGCTTTGCTCTAGATCAGAGTCCAGGTTCTTCAATGATAAATTCCTAGGCAGAGGCCTTGGAAGTATCCTGTAGTGAAGAGATTTTGTCCTAATGATTGGCCTATGGGGATTTGGAGTGGGATAAGTAGGGAATCTGCTAAAAATTTCCCATGAGAGAAAGTGTCTTGTTTCCTACCCTCACATGAAAGCACTCAATGAAGCTTAGCTCTCAAATAGAAAAATTAAAATAAGGAAATGAGAAAAAACAGAACTTTCATGAGGAGAATAATCTAAGTGGCTTTCATCCTGAGTTTTCTAGTAGGCTAGGCAAAGAGAGAGAAAATCAGATATAGCTGTGGGTGTAGAAGGAAGGCAAGCAGATCCTCAGGAGAGATGCACAAGGCATTTCCTGTGCTGACCTCTGGGAAGAGCCTCTTACTCTGAGCATTGGGGAGGGGACACAGTCAAGATGACTCTAGAGAACAGTCTATGAATGAGTAGTTTCCACAGGGCCGTTCATTCCAGCAGCCTTCAGAGGGCTTTGCGAGCTTAACTCAGACATCAGTAGCTTAATGAAGGCCACTGTGGAGGGGTCACTCAAGAACTGGCCTTTGGGTTGCATTTAGGCCTGGGTGGGGCTCCCTCTTCTGCTGTAATGGTAGTCAAGGAGCCAGTGGAAAGAAGAGTGACCCATTATGGGTGACTCTGGAGGTCAACTGACGTCAACAGATTCTCAAACACATAGTAAGTGCAAGTCAGTGGCAGTGCATTCCATAGTCAGCCATATGTAAGTTAGGGAGAGGGCTCCCTTCTCTGGGGCCCGGGTGAGACAGTCTCAGGCAGAACCATGGGGTGGGGGGGTGTCTAATTGTTTCCACCCACTGGGGGATGGAGCAGCTTGACAGGCCCTGCCCACAAATACCTCCCATTGCCATCCTCCTACCTACTATTGCCCTGGACAGGCCCTGTTTCTCTCATAAACCCAGGCATCAAGGCAGGCAGCAAGGAGGGGCCTCTGGCCTGGCCTGGCTTGGCCTCAACAAGGGGCCCGTGGGGACAAGGCCTTGCCCTAGTCACCCATCATGGAGGAGCCTTGTGGAACTCTGAGCCTGGAGCCGTCACCTGATCTAGGGGCTCACATTCAGGTCTGGCTGGGCCCCCCTCCATGCCAGATCCCTTTCAGTTGGAAACTCTATCAGTCTCAAGTAGCCTTGTACATGCCCCCAGCTCACCAGTGATCAAGGTGACAAAGTGATGAGACCAGTACAGGTAGGCACCTCCCAAGAAACCATTTACGCAGGAGATGACACTGAGGGCACTTGAGTCTGTCCCAGAAGTTTGGGACCCCCAGGAGTTGGCCTCCTGCCTGGGGAAGTTTAAGGTTATTGAGAGGCAGTGCTGCCTGGTGATCAGGGATCTGGGTTGTGGACATAAGAGCGCTGGGTTCACACCATAGCTTAGTGTTTTGCTCTGTGAACCTGGGCAGATGCCTTGTCCTCTCTATGCTTCAGCTTCTTCTTTGATACATAGGAATAATAATAATAGAGTTTTCTCATTGTTGGCTACTATGAGGACTAAACAAATTAATCCTTCCAAGCTAGCCTTGGGTCAGAGCTCCAGCCATGGAAGGCCTGTTGTCAGCAGTTTCACAGGAAATCAGGCAAGAGTGGGGAAAGGGGACCAGATGTGCAGAGCTATACTCCATTTTCAGATTCCTGTGCCACCTGCAGCCTGTAGAGACTTTGGTTCTCACCTAGATTAGGGGCTTCAGGGGTGGTTGGTGGAACTGACCCGAGCCCAGCCAGCACAGTAGACTTTCCATATAAAAAGTGCATCCCCTTCCTTGGCTGCTGACCCAGTCCTGGCATTGTCCCACCAAGCTGTGGGTCCCCCCACACCAACTGCTACACCCCCATTCTGCCCACAGTGGTGACTGGGGGTCCCCTGGAAGGGCCCTACCGCCTCAAGCAGTTCCACTTCCACTGGGGCAAGAAGCACGAGGTGGGCTCGGAGCACACGGTGGACGGCAAGTCATTCCCCAGCGAGGTGAGGGCCACCATCTGGTGCTCGGGGAAAGAGCATGGGTCAGGTGGTCCAGGTGCCCGGGTTGAGGGTGACTGGAGAGGGTGAGGAGGAACACACAGTTCTTTGGGAGAAACACTGATCCCTGCCTCAGCACAGGGGCTATGTTCTGAACACTGCCACCACTGTCCTGTCTGGGTATCTGCATCCAGGAGTTTTTGGAAAGGCCTCCTCCAACCCCCATGTTGCTGATGAACCTTTAGGAACTGAGCCTGGCATTAATGGCCCTGCACAGACTCACCTTGCCTGACCTCATTGTCCTCTGTCCTCTTCGCCCATTGAGCTATGTGTGACAAATCGCTGTTTGTACTTGATTCCTTCATGCTCCAAGCTTTTGTCTATGCTGCGCTCTTTGCCTGAAATGCCCTTCCCCATGGTTTCTGTTATCCCCCTGCTTATTCTTTGGACTCAGTTGCAGGTGCCACCTCCTCAGGGAGGCATTGCACTGGATGGCCATCATTGAATTCATAGCTGGTTCACCAGCAGACAGACAATGAGCCAGATGCCTCCCTGGATCTCCTGGGGCTCAGGAAAGGGTTGGACTCAGAGCTGGGTGGATGCTACAAAGGGCACTCTTCTGGGGGCTCCCCTAGACCCTTGGGAGGTTTGAGAACTCCCTCTCGTGCAGAGAGCAGAACTGTGGTGAAAATGAGGAAGGGTGGCTCTGAGTTCTTACTGGCCCCTGGTGATACTGAACCCTGGCTGGGCCTGGCCTATTCTTCTCCCCAGCTGCATTTGGTTCATTGGAATGCCAAGAAGTACAGCACCTTTGGGGAAGCGGCCTCGGCACCTGATGGTCTGGCTGTGGTTGGCATCTTCCTGGAGGTGAGTTGGGGTGGGGTAGGGGGTCTGGGAGCAAGGTATGACCCTAGTTCTAGAATGCAGGGGTGATAGGCTCATACTACCCTCTCCCTGACAGACAGGGGATGAGCACCCCAGCATGAACCGCCTGACAGATGCACTCTACATGGTTCGGTTTAAGGTGAGACTTGTCCTGCCCCCTTATTGGGAGCAACTGGGTGGGAGGAGGGAAGAGGTTAGCTCTCACTGGGGCCCAATCACTCCTCCATGCTGGTGGCCAACCCTGCTGGAGATTCAGGGTGAAGGCCAGGACCTCAGGGCCTTGCACCTGACCCTTCCATATCTGGCTCTGCTGATGCCCAGCATGCAGCCCGGTAGGATACAGGATGGCTGAGATCCTAGGCACATGAATGGTACTTTGTCAGGCAGAGCTGTTGAGGTTAGCTGCAAGAAAAAGTATGAACACAGTGACCAGAGAATCCCAGAGGCCATAGCTTTTATGTAGAAGCAAACAGGTGCAGAAGGTGCAATCTAAGCTGGGGAGGTGGCAGCTGGGGTCACAGACATTTGCTCACAATTTGCATCTGTGGGACAAGAAGTAACCTGGATCCTCTGACAGAAACAAGGGAAGAATCTACAGGGCTGGTGGTGGTAGGAGGTCTGTGCTGATCCCCATATTTCTACCCTGCCCCAGGGAACCAAGGCCCAGTTCAGCTGCTTCAACCCCAAGTGCCTCCTGCCTGCCAGTCGGCACTATTGGACTTATCCAGGTTCCCTGACTACACCTCCCCTCAGTGAGAGTGTCACCTGGATTGTGCTCCGTGAGCCCATCAGTATCTCTGAGAGGCAGGTGAGTCTTCCCAGAGCCCCAACTGCAAACTCACGGCCTAGCCCAGGCAGGGTGGCATCCCCCCATCAAAGCTCCCATCTTTTGCTAGTCATTACTTTAGACTTTTGGTTGGGAGTTACCATGGTTGTTAGTCATTAGGACCTAGACACAGGTTGGGTGGGGAGAGGCCTGGCTTCTGGAGCAGTGCCGACTGTGCTGGAACTAGAATGATGTATGCATGGTTGTACCTTGCTAGACAGATCAGAAACTAGAACTAGGTGGTGTGGGCCCAGGCCAAAAGTCCTTTAGTGGATAAATAACTGAGCTTGGGGTTATCAAAGAGGAGGCTGAGTAGAGAAGACTGGGGACAAGCCCCTTACCCCAGTGGGAGGCAGGAAGAAAGAGGGATAGAACTGGCTGGGTAAAGGGATGCCAGACAGTGCATCTGGGGACCTAGGACCACAGCACTCTCATGTCCTGAGTGTTCCTTTTGCTTCTTAAGATGGAGAAGTTCCGGAGCCTGCTTTTCACCTCAGAGGATGATGAGAGGATCCACATGGTGAACAACTTCCGACCACCACAGCCACTGAAGGGCCGTGTGGTCAAAGCCTCCTTCCGGGCCTGAGCTCCTCATCTGCCCAGCTGGCCACTAGGGCACAGTCTTCCCAAGGGCTTCCATGTCAGCAGACACCAAACCATCTGAGGCTCCCTGCCTGGGGGGTGCTGTGGCCCCCCTTCAGCTGGCTTGCTTCTTGGCTACCCTGAAGGATTCTTGATGGGACCTTCAAGTCAGGGGTACCCTTCAGCTGCCATGGGGACCAAAAGAATAGGAGCTCAGCAGGGCCCAAGCCTGGGGCTGCCTCTGTTCTCCAAGACCCAAAGGCCCCTGGGAACCTCCTCTTGTCTTCCCTACTGGCAGTGGCAGCAGCCCCACCCTGAGCTCACACTGTGATGGACAAGCCCTAGCTCCCCAGGGCAGGCAGCTGACACTGCCAGGAAGATGCAAGCAATAATTAGAGGTGGGCAGATTTGCCCTCTCAGCATTACCTCTTCTGCAGGCCTCCGCCATGCACGCACCTCACTGCCAGGCCATTAAAATCAGCACCCAGCCTGCTGGAGGTGACGTGGCCTTCTCCCTCTAGCCACCTGCTGCTCTGAGCAGGCCCTGGCTACAGCTTATATATTATCTTCCTTTGTTCCCACCCAGCCACCAAAGCCACCTACATGACAATCCATCCATGTATTAATTAATAAATTCATTTATCCATGCGACAAATATCAATTGAGTACCTGTGCTATATCAAGGACTCTGGTGCATTGGAGAGCAATGGGTGGGAAGTCAAGGGCACTATGTTGAGAGGGACTGCGTACTGGGCAGAGGAGGTGGGGCTATGCAAAGGGTCAGAGGTATGGAGGCAAAGGTAAGGGGGATGGATGTTTTCTTTGGGAAGAAATGAAATTCCAACCAGTATTCCAAGGCAGAAAGACAGAAATAGAACATTTGAGGTAGAGGGAAGAGCAGGTGAGGGACTCAGAGGTGAGAGGTCAGTGTGGTTGTAGGGCCGATGCCCTGGCAGAGGGCTTGGGACTCTTCCTAGGCTCAGGGAAGCCATTAAGAGTTGGTAGTAGAGGAGGAGCAAGGCCAAGTGTGCAAATGGGGATGATCCCTTTCGGAATGTAGCAGGGAGGGATGAAGTGGGGCTGATTTCCCTGAGGCAGAGGACAGGGTGGTTGGGATGGGTAATAGGCTGGATGATAGAGATTTAGGGGGATAGCTCAAAAGACAGCTCTTGTGGGGTGTAAGAGAGAAGTCCAGGGTAGGTCCCCAGATAGGGCTGGTGGCTTTTCTAGTGGACTGGGGACCCTGAGAGGAGCTGACCATATTGTACACACTGCATTTACAGGCTCTGGAAGAAAATTTAAGGAGACACAAACTCTAGGCCCCAACCTGATGCTAGAACAACTGTGAGAGTAAGTGCCTCCCTAAATTTGTCCCCTGAGTAATTTGCTTGTATTTCCCAAATTCCAAAGTCTGAAGAGCTCTTTTTAGACAAGCTCATAGTTGGTCTTAGAGACCCAGTGGGCAATGTAACCCAAATGAGATAGGGTCAGGTGGCAGTGAGGGGAGGTGTAAAAGTGAAACAATATACAAGTTTAGCAGTGAAGGGGAAGAAATGAATGGCTAGGTGGTAGTAGAGAGATAGGCAGGGGTGTGTCTAAACACTGCTAAGAAGGAGTCTGTACCTCAAGGCTGGGAGCAAGTGGTAGAGGCTTGTCCACGCCTTATTTTGGTTGTAGCTCCTGTCATTGTCACTATACTACAAGGGAACACCCAAGCTCAAGGGCACTTCTGGTCTTTAGATCTCTAGCTTTGAACTCAAGGACACAAGCTAGGGAAAGGCTTACTCTGTTGACCTCTCCACCCACTTTAGTACTCAGGCAAATCTGTCCCTACAGTGGGGTGGGGGTCAGATGACAGGAGAGACAAGTCCCCACTGCAAGAGTGCCGCAGTGTAAGGCCAGACACAGGCTGCTAGCCTGATCAAGAAGCTCTCTTCTTCCTCCAGGTTTCAGTAGTCAGTGAAGAGTGTGGGGAGGCATCTGGAGGACAGTTCCCTGAGTTGGGAGCAGGTGGCTTTGGTAGCAAGGAAGTGATGCTGTCAGTATGAACTGTCAAGGCAGGCAAAGGGCCTCGGGCAGTTGGAGTGTTTTCTCCCCATGACCAAGAACTGTCATTACTTCCATTTTATAGATGAGGATAAAGAAGCTTGGGAAGGTTAAGGAGGCAAGTGTCCAAGCAGGAGCTGAACTAGCACCTGATGTATACCATAGCAGGATGGCACAATGGTGACCACCTGGTGTGGCATAATAACTCTAGTGCTTCTAGATGTGCCCGGGAGCCTGTCCAGACCCTCCTAGGGATAGTGGCACCATAGGGCTGGCACTACATAGGACCTGGAAAAGAGGAATTGGTTTTATAATAATTATCTTGAGGCTGCCAAGAACTCTCACTCCCTAAGTTGTTTCTCTTAATTTGTTTCTTCAATTTAAAACCATTTTAAACCCAAAGTGGCCTCCTTATGTTACAAGCACAGCCCCAGATTTGACCGTATTGCATTCAAATGGGAAGTCACTACTGGAACCCGCTGGAACCCAAATGCCTCCAGCAAACCTGGCCTCAAGGGACCCAGGATAGGGACCTGGATCCTCTTGCAAGGTAATAGTTTCCTGGAGATGATGGTGGGCACATTTGAGACATCCAACACTATACAGGCTCTGCTGAGTCTCAAGACCCCAGAGTCCCTTTCTGGGTAGTCAGGGGTGCCATTGAAGAGACTCAGGGAGGTCTGGGGACTGAATTCAGTGGCAACAGCATGCTGTGTCTGTGGGTACACTAGGGGCAGAGGCTTCCCTCCAGAGTACCTTCTGGAGGACCCAGCCCTGGGGCCCAAAACAGGGACCTGCTTTGAGGGTGAAGGGATACTCGAGAGATGGGTGGCTGTGAAGATCCAGTCTGTTGGGGCTGGCGAGATGGCTCAGTGGTCTAAAGCACCTACTTGGAACAAGCTTGGCAAAGCACCAGGGACCACGGTTCAATCCCCCAGCACCACATGCCAGCCAGCCTCGCCCCCTGGTGGGCTGAGCTGGCCACACACACACACACACACACACACACACACACACACACAATAAATAAATAAATGTTAAAAAAAAAAAAAGATCCAGTCTGTTATGGTGTCTAGTTGTTTCTCCACAGCTTCATGAGGTCATGGGTTTTTTTTTTGAGACAGCTGAATCTAGAGTGTGCGATTGATTTGTAGTGCAATGCTGGGTTTAAAGGTGTTGGGATTGAGGGTGGGTGGTCGCTGGACCAGTCCACTGATTGGATTGGCACTGCTCTAATCCCAGTTGTAGACTGGATACAATATAAGGTACAGAATGAGTCTTGTCTTGCTTCTCATTGCTTCACTGTCTTCTGCTGACATGAACTGTTGCCCTTCTGTGGTGCCACCCTGTCTTGGAGTCAGCTGGGTATGGATTGAAACCTCTCCAAACTGTAAACTGAATGAACCTTTCCCTGTTTAACTTTCAGTGTCAGGTATTTTATCTCAGGGATGAGAAAAGTGACTGAGGCACAGCTCCTCCTAGAGCTTCTTCTGCAGAGAACTTGCTCCCAGCTGCTACAGAGGCCTAGGAATATCCCCTACATGCAATCTGTGGACACATCCTCTAGGATGTTATCTAGGGGACAGTGGCAAGATGTTGACTGAGTTGCTACCTTAAGAGGGGCCATAGCTGATGTCCAAGTGGGGTTGGAGCAGGGCAGAGTTTTCTTAGCTGCCGCTAGAGCTGGCCTCAGAGTGGTGAGGGAGGGAAGACAACTTCTGCAAGAGTCTCCCTCATCCATGAGTCTCAGCTCCAACTCAGCAGCCATTCTCAAAGGCAGATTGTCCTGCTGGTTGGTCAAGCTTTAGGGAGAAGAAGAGGAGTGATGCTATCGTGATACAACCCGGCATTTGTCCCTCAGCCAGAGCCAGGAGCCAGGGAAGGCATCGCTTTTAGAGACCTATCTGTAATAAAGGTTAGAGCAGACATTGCCACATGTGTTACTTAGGTTCTCTGTAAAATTGAAATGACAATAGGAGGGACATTTGTAGTTTAAAATTCTCTAGTAACTGTGTAAAAAAAATGTAAAAGATGCCAGGTGCAGTGGCGCACTCCTGTAATCCTAGCTACTTGGGATGCTGAAGCATGAGACCCAGAAGTCCAAGACCAGCCTGGGCAACTTAGCAGACTCTGTAAAAATAATAAAAAGGGCTGAAAACATAGCTTAGTACTCTTTGGATTCAATCTGCAGTACCTTAAAAAGAAGAAGGAGAAAGAGAAGGAAAAGAAGGAGGAGAAGTACAAGGAGAAGAAGGAGAAGGAGGAGAAGAAGGAGAAGGTGGAGAAGGAAAAGAAGAGGAAGAAGAAGAAGAAGAAGAAGAAGAAGAAGAAGAAGAAGAAGAAGAACAACAACAACAACAACAACAACAACAACAACAACAACAACAACAACAACAACAAGAGAAGGAGGAGGGGGAGAAATATTTTGTTTTAGTGTGGAGGATTGAACCTACAGCCTCATGAATGCTAAGTAAATGATAAATCAGTCATTTTAATAATATATTTTAAGCCATGTTGTTATGTTGAGCTGTAGGGGACTCAGGTCAACAACTTCTGACTTTGCCAGTCAAGTGGAAGACCCAGTACTATTATGGACTACTGGACTATTTTGGAATATTTTTCTGTGTTCACACAGCCAATGATGGAACTAAACAAGAAAAGGGGATATAGATGAATGACCATTCTGTATCTGTGTATTCGAAAGGGTTAGGATAGATATATAACTACATTCTTTTAATTCAAGGAATAGAGGGATTTGTTCTAATTGTGTTTGTAAATAGGATATCATGTCTGCATCTTATATAACAACCACTAGGAAGGCAGTATGCAATGTATTAATTATTGGAACTGTCCTATCAATTTGATTTGAAACTATCTCATTGCTATTTATTTCTCAATAAAATTATGGAAAAATAATATATTTTATTAAACCCAATAAACATACCCATTTTGAATATGTCTTTCATATAAAAAACATTGATATATAACATTCTTTTTTGGTACCAAGCCATTGAGATCCAGTGTGTGCTTTACACTTGCAGCACATCTCCATTCAGAATAGCTATACTGTGCTGCAAGTATTCCAGAACCCCGTGTAGCCAGTGGGGATTGTATTGGACAGTGCACCCCCAAACGGATGCCATTCTTTTCAGGGCCATCTAGTGATGAGGTTTCTGAGAAGGCTCTTTGGCTGAGCCAGCACCCAGGCAAAGGGATGGCAGGAAGGAGGCAAATCTGCTCTGAGCTTCTATTTCTCTGCAAGAACTGCCTCAAACACTTGATATCAAGTTGGCTCATCTTCCAGGCTTTCCTCCCCAGGAAACATTCCCAAACCTGTTCCACTCCAGCCCAGCTGGCCCTGCTGTGGTCACCCTGCAGGACCTTTGCTGTTCTACCAGGAAAAAGGCCAAGACACTCTGCCAGGAAGTGACTGTAGGGGATTGTTGAGGTGTGTAGGGGATAGTAGTGTCTGTGGGAAGGGTTCTGGCTGGGCTGAGAAGACTTGATTAGAAAAGACTCAGAGAAGTCTGGAGGCTAGAGGGGGTTTGGGGGAGGGCCCCAGAAAAAGTAACTGGCATCCCAGGAGAGAGACAGAAGCCTCAGCAGTAG